TCCACCACCGCCCCCATCCTAAACCCTAAGATAGATATTGAGGTAGCCTGTCCAGCGAGCTTCTTCCTCCCCTGCGGCAAGTTCCTCTGGTTGTTTCTCCCTTCGACCAAAATCGACTGAACCAACTTCGAAACTCAATCGACTGAAATGTAGCTATTGCGTGGGGTTTGGCAACAAAATAAACTGACGCCGTAGGAATGTCGATTGCATTAAAAAATACGTGTCAATTTGTGCATATGTGCATGCATGGCCGTTAAATTCCAGCAGTACCAATTTAAATGCATGAGCAGCTGTCACATGGAAACTATTGTCGTCACGGTCGAGAGTGCAATGCACGCAGTCACTCCAAGTCCAAGATCACGGACGGATACAACACGGCCTGCTAGGCTGGAAGCATGCATGCGCTCGTTGCGCAGGACGAAATTTCACGGTGGGCATGCAGGCAGCTCGCTTTCGGACAGTGACGTCCGTCGACCCGTGTGTCGTCGTACGCGTACAAATGTCCTCATCGGACAAGCTCGGTCGACGTCGACGTCCATCCATTTACCCTCGAATCTCGACCGATCGTCCCGGCCGTATCCAAAGTCTCGCGCGCGCACTAGCCAACTAGCGATCGAGTTCACGACCGTTTCTGTGCGCGCGCATTCCTTGGCGTCACGTCCTTGGATCGATCGTGCTCCCCACGTCCCCGGGCCATGCCGCTCGCTCGCCCGCTTTAAACCACCACGAAGGCACTAATTCTAGGCTATCATCACTTCATCCAGTCTCTCTCACCTGCCTTATCCATCGATCCGCTGGACGGGACTAATTCTAGGCTATCATCAGTTCATCACATCTTCCATCTACAACAACCAACGGCGATAATGGCCGCCTTGCCGCAGCTGTTGCTGACCCTCTTCCCCGCGGTGACCGCCGTCGTGTTTCTGCTGGTGGCCTCGGCGCCGGGAGCACGCGCTCACGTGTCCTCATCCTCGTCGGCGACGTACCGCTGCGGCTGGTGCCCGCGCAGATCCACCGCGTCCATCCTCCCTCCCGGCGCCGGTGCACTTACCGGCCCCGCCTGCGGGTATGGTGGCCAGGCGGCGGAGATGGCCGTCGACGGGGGGTTCCACATTGCGGCCGTCAGCGCCGGTTTCTTCCGCGGCGGCCGGGCCTGCGGCGCATGCTACCAGCTGAGGTGCAGGGGCCGGAGCGCGTGCGCGAAGGATGGCGTCAAGGTCGTCGTCGTCGCCGACGTGGCAGAGACGAACATGACCGGTGGTCAGTTTCTGCTCACCAAGGACGCCTTCGCCGTCATGACCACGCTAGACCGTGGCGGCGAGCTCGCGGACGCAGCCGTCGACGTGGACTTCAGGAGGATTCCCTGCGTGTACAAGAGCAAGAACCTGGCGGTTAAAGTGGAGGAGACGAGCAGCAGGGAGCGGGGCTACCTCGCCCTCCGCTTCCTCTACCAGGGCGGCCAGACTGACATCGCCGCCGTCGAGGTCGCGCAGGCGGTCACCGGTTCGAGCGGCACCAAGAACGAGGCCTCGCCGTCGCAGACAACGTGGCAGTACATGACGCGGCGCGAGGCGTCCCCGTCAGTGTGGCGCATGTCGCGCGTGCCGACCGGTCCGCTGCGGCTCCGGCTCGTGGTCACCGCGGGCTCTGGCGGCAAGTGGCTGCGCGCCGACTGGGCGGTGCTCCCCGCGGAGTGGCAGCCCGGCGCGGTCTACGACACCGGCCTGCGCGTCACCGACGTCGCCGCAAACACCTGCGGCGCCGCCTCTTGCTCCGCCACGGACGAGGACGACGACGCCGAGCAGCTCCGATGACACGCTCCCCTTGCATGCATCCACGGATGAACCAGTGACCGATCGATGGTCCATCGGAGCCGGCCCGCCAGACACGCACATCTGCACCGGCCGGCTGCCGGAATATCGGTCGATGCTGCATGTACACTGTACAGAGACGTGTACATCGCAACGTCACGGTCGACGACGAGTTCCGGTTAGGACAAAACCTCCATTGTCCCTCTCTAAACAGAGCTGGTTGGAGCGTAGCGTCACGTGTGAACTAATGCGGAGAAGAACATGTACATAGCTCTGTTTTGGTCTTGGAATCACATGACAGTGCCACTGTTTTTGGCTGCTCGTCTTCTTCCTTTTTGGCATAGTAGAAGAGCATTATTGTAGGTTGATTGCATGAGCTAATTATAAGATTGATCAATTGCCGACTAAGACTCGCAGATCCGGTATAAGTCCGGCGAAATGCGTTTTCCCTGCCGTTTTACGGTATGGGCAAAAAAAGGCCCGAGCAGGTCCGCTAAAGAGAGACCTGCCCGTAATTTTTTACAAGCGGCCCGTAAACCGCCCTCCATTCCTCCATATATGCGGGCGATGGGACATCTTAGGGTTCCCGTCCCGCAATCCTCACATCCACCTCCGCCGCGAAAACCATCCTCCGACGAAAAATCCCTACACCTCCGGCGACGTTTTGCGACCCATTTGACCATCGAATCTTGCTGGAGATGGCGTTCGTGGGTTTCGGGCATGGCGG